CTGGATTTATCCTGTTGTTGATTTTTCTAACTACAATTTGGTCATATGCGCATCGCATGCAGATTGCTTCAATATAAAGATTATGACACAAGTTAGTAAAGAATAAAGAAAATGTGGCCAGCAGTGGAATATGTTAGATCCCCAGAACTCGCTTGATAAATGCCTTAATTTAGATTTTACGTGTCGGAACATCAGTTGACGTTGAGATTTCATTTCCCACCAGTAAAATCCTTTGTTGTGATTGGCTGCTGTGTGCTATTTTTGCGACTGTCCCATGTTCTACCATATATAACTAAACGAGATTTGTGTGCTTGATTCATTGCGCTTGCTGGGTGTTTGTAGAATATACTTTCTACACCTACCAAGTCTTATGTTTTGCAGTTTGGGATTCAAGGTAGCCTACGTGGACGCTGGTTCATTGTCTCGTTCGGGTTTATCGACTAAGGTGAACCTGTAATAATTTCAAGCATACTTGGCGACGATGCGCTTTCGTTTTATTTAAGAACTGTCGACTGAATACACCTCTATTCGTATTAGATATACGCATACCAACCAAGATCGATAAAATTCCATTTCAAAATATCAAAACTCATACCCATCACACGAGTGGTTGAGTGTGTTTCGGATTCAATAGCTAAGTGTATAAGGCAACGGTGTTTGTGGAGAATAGTATTTGACTCGAATGCTAGATTGAAGATCAACTCTGAGATGCAGATATATCTAACTGACGTGTCTCAAATGGCACGAGATCCGCGTCTTAAATTCCACTATTCTCCACATTCTATCCTTTCCATACTAAAAGTAATTTTTTGAATTCTTATCCATCTATATTCAAGTTTAATAATTTTTACATTTTTTTTACCTTTTCCATTAATTTTAGGACTGGATCATATTGGGATTTATCGGTCAAGTGGCAATGGTGCTACAATTCAGAAACTCCGTTGTGCTGTTAATCAAGGTGAGTAAACTAAGAGATTCTCTTTGTGTATGATATTATAAATTAGTAGCTCTTAACAACACTACTTAAAATTATGTATAAAATCAATAATTGTTTGTTTTCGTGCTACAAAAAGGTGTCACTTAAACTGTTTTTTTTTGACTAGAAATGCTAATTTTATCGTAACCTTATATAGTAACGTAAAAACGCAGTTAAACGTAAACTAGGATTGGGTGTACTTGTGAATCATAATGGTTGGTTGTGTAAGCATTCAGTATTCATTCAACTGCTTACTTGTTTATTTACATTTAAATACTTTAACAGTTCAGTCAACATACTATTTCTTTTCAGTCGAAGATGAAGATCTGCCGTTCAAACACATATATTTGATCATTAGTTAGAATATTGATTATTTTATAAATATCTATGAGTTTTCACGTAAAGTAACTTTCCTAATGTAACTCGTTTTCATATGCTTCCAATCAGAAAAATTAATTTCAATGTAAAATCTAATGGTCACCTGATAATTAAAGTTCAATTTGCACTAAGAAAAACTCAACCACGATAACTATCAATCATAATTCGGATTGTTATTATATATTTAAGTATAGAATTACACTTACGTAAGAATAAACAGGCTAATGTTACATCATTAACGATGTTGTGTATCTGAGTGATATATTTGTTCATGTCATATGAAGATATCTAGTGTTTAACATTTTCTCTTGTCATATTATGCATGATTAGTCGTAACTCTCAGTTTCACAGTTAATAATCACGTAATTGACATATATTCTGATTGGTAGATTTCTGAATCCAGTAAATAATTATTTGTATTATATAAGTCAATCATCTTATATAATATTCTTTTGTTTGGAAATTTAAAATATACAATTTATACTATTCTATTACTGCAGACAGTTGAATGGTGTAACACTTCTTGATAGTTCGGTTTCCTTATGTTGTTTAAAAGTCAAGAAATGAGAATATTAACAATGAGTTAATTGTTGGTCATACTAGTTTTCCGTTAAAAATCTATCAAGCTGATAGTAATTTAATTCGTGTTGTATGATATTACTTTCAAACTTTTTTTTCATGGTTTCGAAGATGTTGATGAGTCTTGTTATTATTTAATCACAACTTGATATTTTTGGCTATCTAGCTATTTTGCGATAGTCCTTAATTTCTCAACTGTAAGCACTCTTAGCTATAAACAATCAAACCTCACCACCTCATATGCTGTTACACGTACACTATTATCTGCTTGTTCAAATCTGTAATAATGAACAATTCAGTGTCTATATGCTTTTCATATGAACATGTTGATATTTAGATACAAAACTCTTAACTATGGAGCTGATCAAGATGTGCACAAAGTCATGAAACAACTATTGATATTGATTAATATTGTTAGTTTATTTTGAATTTTAGATATTTCAGTGTACACTAAAAGTGAATGTAGATTTCATGCTAGTTAACAGTTGTATCTAGATATCGTAAAAGTACTTATATTTACTCTAAGGAGATTCCAATAAAGATAATCATTTCACAATTAATCGATTACTTTATAATGATCACTATCGTATCTATTCATTAGTGCTAATTGAATTCTATTTACCAATTTATATTGTGACTAATAGTTTAAGTGATGATTTTTAATTAATCGATAGCAGCGAGTCGAGCTACCTAACACCAACAACTATCCACTGATTATTTTCGCTAATTCAGAGTTTTTTTTATTTCCTTTACTGCTTTTCTCAACAATGAACAAACTACTCACAGTAATGAATACAAATGTATCTATTTTTCAAAAGATAATTGGTTATTTTATTTGTGTAAAAACTATCGTTAAGATGTACTTTTTTTTGTTTTATTTTCATTTTTATTTTATCATTTGATTGAACTGACAACAGTCATCATCATATAAAAACACGTGTTCAATTATCTGAATTGATGTACAGTGTATTAAATCTATATGTTGGATACAAATATGTACTGACTTAGTATTATTACTAATATTATTACACACCAAATCGACATTTAAACCTGATTGGATAAAATTTTAGTATAAGCTAGTATGTTAACCTTGATTATCATCATTAATTTTACGTGGATTATTCCCCTGAAGAAGCTCAAACTACTTCGGCATACGAAACTCTAGAATTATTTAAATTTCAATCTCTGGGATTATTCAAATACAATGTTTCCAGATAAATATTCGATGGTTGCTTATGCTTAGAATAGTTCTACCCTGTCGGGTGTGAGGCATTTACCCAGTGAAGACAACGGGTGAGATCGCACAATAAATACCCTGGATTGACTGAAGTTAGACATTAACACCATTGAGTGCCGGCTCTGTGCTTCGTGCGCGAAACCGAGGGCCCCAAATTTGGGCCAAACAGCCATCCAGTGCTTTCAGGTTTCTAATGGTGGTCTAACATTGATTGATTCATGACTTCAATGAATGCCTAGTGTGAATGTGTTATTCACACCTGCCACCTAATTGATATTTTTGTTACTGACAATTTTCAATCATGATAGTTGTGTACACAAATTTTATGTTTTTCATACACATAGAAATCTAATTTGTGTATATTTCGTTTTGAATAATTTAAAAATTAAATATTCCTATGATAGTATTGTTTATGATGAGAGCTTAATTCAATACTGAGCTCGTTAAACGGATTTTTTTACTCATTAAATTATTTTTTAAATTTTAATCAGATGAAGTTTAATTAGGTAGAACTACTTAGTTGACACTAACTAGTTACATTATTCAATGATCAAAACTACAAATTATTCAATCAAAATAATATGGGAATGATTAATTTGTCAGTTTTGTTTTAATAAGGTATAATAATTCAAAATTTAAAAAAAAATTAATAAAACAATCTATGCGTTGATTCAATTTTACCGTATTTTCATGTTAGGTAAGAAGAAACATAAAATTTGGATTTTTCTTTTAAAAGGTCTAAAGACCATTACTATATTTATCAATGATATTTTAAAATTTTATTGATTAGCAAAGGTCTTTTAATTATTCTTTTCCTTTTTTTGATAAATGATGCTGTTTCATAACAGTTTAACAACATAATAACTAATTGTTTCATTCTGAATTGCACAATTCTCTGTGATGATTGTATGATGATTGTATTGCAATACATTTACGAATAATAAACTTTTTCGTTTGTTTAAAGTATTTTAATTAGAAAAAAGTTTAATGCATTAACTAGTGTCGTAAACATCTATTTGATTGTTCTCATGAAATAGTAGATTTTTTTTTCATAAACATTATAGTAAGTAATATGTTGGAATTTTGTTTGAATCATTTATGTACTTAATTTTGTCTACTTAAGCTTAAACCTAAATTATAATGGAAACACTTCATGCATTGATCTCAATTTGAGTATCACTAAACTAAAAAATGATCAAGTTATGTAATTTAATATATTATATCACATTTTGGTTCTTGCTTTTTAAACGTAACCGTGGTAGCCTTTACCTGATACATATTTTCGCACATATAGATAGGTATATGCCATTACCCATGTTTGGTTGCCACTAGTTTTAGTTTGTTAATTTTCTCTATATTTGAAGGCCATGTTATCGTTGCTGTGTACATTGATTCATATCATTTTAAGTTGCTCTGTTTAAATGATCAAGCTTCGCCTACAATTCATATTCTTCTTGTGCTAACTGATAATTACTGAAGTGTTGTGCATCAGTTGCCACTATCGAGTCTGCAATAAGACCTTTCGTTTTGAAATAGCTCGATCGTTCCTGCCCAACTAAAAACCTCAATAAAGATTTAACATATTAAAATGTAGAGATCGTTGGCTGCATGTGTGTATATAGATAGAATTCAGAGCCTTCAAATTCCACGGTTAAATGATTAACTACTAGATTTTGCTTATCTTTTATGATATGTTTATCAACTTGAATTAACAATATTGTAATTGCTAGTGAATTGTGGTTACTAAAATACTTCCTTTTAATAATAGTCTGTAACACTCACTTCTGCATATTGTTGATGTTTTTAGCCTGCAGTGTTATCCAATCACTAGTTGTCAAAAAACTTTTTCTAATCTAGATATGATAACTTTTTCATTGCATGTTTGCACATTGAACAATAATTTACATTATGTAGTAAGACCTACGAAAACTTGAATTCATCCTTTTAAACAGCATAAAACAGAATCACTTTAAATATTTGGCATATACTAAATTACATGGTACTTAAATTTTGAAATTTGTTAAAGTATGTTGTACAAATATCTTTCACTAGTAGCTGTAATGATTGTGTGCATAGTGCAGGTGAGCTCTAGGATCTTCAGGGAAAAATTGGGGTATTGTTGGTCACTACCCACCAGAAAACTGCATCCCCTAACTTTGCTCTATTTCCTTATGGATTAGACCTGTAAGTCAAGGACTCGAGGAGTAGTCTCCTAAGAGGACCACCTGCTTCAGTCTGGGCGCCCGAAAATTATAGTACCCTGGCTAGCACATATGCAAATTTATTTATTTCTGTGGCGCACAAATACTTAGATGCCCCTTTGTACCAATACTTATGTGTTTAAATAAAATATACCAGTAACTCTCATACGGACAGTGTGGTTGAAAGCCAAGTATCCCTGGTAACTAAAATAATAATATTAAGAATTTAAAGTAACAAAAACAGTCACATATGTTTTTTACTCAGTTAAGGAAGCTGGGGTTTTTTTTAGCTTCAATTTGTGGACATGAGTTAAATAACCGAATCGTATTTTCAATTCACCTCTTTCTTTACTCAAAGTTTTTTAATAAATAAGTTGTTATGTTTTGTCGTGATCGATAGTTGGTCTATTTATCTTAATTTAAGTACATGTGTGTACTTGCTAGGTTACACAAGTTGTAGTTAAAATTTGTCAACTAAATCATCCAGTAATTCCATCTAAGCTATCTACGTTAATGTTAGTCTACTTAATATTGTATTCACGGTGTATAATATATGTTATTTTGTTATTCAATTAAGGACACTTTACCATTGTTTACTCTTAAATATTATGAATATGTATAGTAATACGTAGTTAATCTAATGTTTGATATTCCTATCCATTGGTAATGCACTTTTTTTAAAGTTCTAAAAAGAAACTGAACTATGGAGTTAACCAAAATCGAAGATGAAAACTGTTATACTCATCAATAACGCCTAGATAAAGATCGTGCTATATCGCCTTTAACTGGGTTGTATCGAGCAAATTACTTCGACAGTTTTGTTTGAAGAATAAAAATATTTTCGCCTCTTTCAGCTATATACCATAGTAGTATAATATGCTGAATCCAAAGTGAATCACATTACACTATATACACGATCCTCGACTGAATATTGTCAAACAGACTAGACAATATTTTATGTAACTCAGTTACAATCAGTCTATACTCAATAATCTGAAGTAGATGTCAATGATAGAAAAGAAAACCACAGTTAGTAAGTTGTATTTGCTTATCCACACTCTGTGGCTGACCACACCGCCCTTCCACTAGTACACACCAGTATCACTTACTTTTTTTCTGGTTAGCGTTTTTTTGGCAAGTGAGATTTCGACGGAATGGGGTCGCCAAACCCATGTCCAACCCTCCTCCTTTATCCGGGCTTGGGACCGGCAGTAGCCCCTAAGGTTCTACTGGCGGAGTTACACCAGTATCACTGTAATCTCTAAATACATAAGGTTCAATTAATTATATGATTGTAAGTATCATTTGTCGTGGTATGTCAAGCAACCTTGAAATATTTACACTTTGTTTCATGTTTTTCAATAATCCTCCAGTTGAAAAAATTTCGTCAGTCACTAGGCCATCAACGCTGATGACCTGGTGACTCTCGATTCGATTATTTTATTATTGTTACTATTATTATTATTATTATTATTATTATTATTTTAGATAATTACAGCCTGAATTCTGAAAAATGGAGCTTAGAAGTGTTAACAGGTGCATTAAAATTGTTTTTCCGGGAACTTAAAGAACCGCTTATAACATTCAAAATATATCCAGAAGTTGATCAGCTCTTGGGTAAATAAATTATTCATACAAATTTAATTTATATTAATATTTACATTCATAAAATAAGTATTCATAATACAGAAAATAATATTTGTCATATTTTTTCATTATATTTAGCCATCTTTATTGAAATGACACAAAATCATTGTTGTTGTTAGGGAATCCCGAAAAATCCCTCGGAAACATCTATCTCTAAAGGCCAAGATATTTAGTCATACTGTCACCATACTGAATATAGTTCCCGAAACCCAAGCTCATGTGTAGGTATAAATACTGTCATTTTGCTGTGTACAAACTGACCTTGGGGTAGAGCATTATTTTCGTACTTGACACTTCTTCTCTTATGTTCAATTCGCCGTTTAGGTTTAGTTGGGTTTTATCAGTGGTGGCTAGGAAATCAAATGTTGAGTTCATTTAACAAGCTTATCAGTTTTATAGCTTTAAATCATTTACTTTGTTTAAATGATTTTGTTACACTTAATGTGTTTATTTTTTTGAAAGTAAAATGTACTAATTTGTTTCAGCTCTCGTTTGATCAGATAGTTTATGATGAGAGTTGTATTGTCTTGTCCGAAAATTGATTTATTGGTTTATTTTGGCTGTAGGGTCGATGACCTATTTAACTAATTATATGGCTACTGTTGGACAACGTCCTAGACTTAAACGCATATTGACCGGCGAGTTCTTTACGGTGCTGTGTGAAATCAGAGGACAAAGATATCGTGCAGAATTATTATCTTTTGTACATACTCATTCATCACTCAAAACTCAATAGGAATATATAATCTCAACAGTGCTAATTCAAAACACCTCTTTCACATAAGACATCAAGTTGATATACCGAAATCTTATTGAATCATCAATCAAGCTCTGTCCTTCCTAAATTTATTGAGTCCATAGCCATCAAACTTCCCAAGTCGAATTTATCCATAACTCTTTAATCTCATTATGCACATCTAACTAATATCACTATGTTAAGTATGTTAACATGATGACTTCAAAATATTATAGATTGTAAGCAACCGTTGTTAGATTGAGTCAAGGACAACATATCTCGCATCTTCAGAATGAAGAGCAATTTTAACATTCCCCATGGGATTTATAAATTTTCATAATCAATGCTTTAGCTTCTTTTGTTTCCAGTGGTCCAATAAAGATAACTCTATTTGTTGACTGTCTATTTGTATGATAAATTAAATGAATTCAGTTACTGATATGGTGATTGTGAGGCATACCTTTAAAGTAGATAGTATCTGTTAGTGTGGATTAATTTTCATTAAATATTATAAAACGATCTAAGCAAATGACATTAATCCTTAAACATGAAATTAGTGGCCAGTTAATAAATGAAATAGCTGAATTTGTTATTAATGTGTCAGTATAACAGTAATAGAACGCAGCTATACTCGTAGTTTGACCATCGTAGTATGACATCATTTTTCTCGATCTGAGAAGTATTGTAAAAGAATCCAAATATTTTCGCATATCAAGTTAGGCTAAGTCAATCCATGAGACTTCATATTTTGTTCATTTTTGTTAATCATTTTACATAAAACACAATAACATAATGAAATAAAAACGACTGAAGAAACATCACTGATCATAATATGATTTTACCTAGTTACTCTGACAACTGTGAAATTGATTATCTAATTGCTAATGAATGTTCTTTTTCCATTTACAGGTGATAAAGATTTAGCGCCAGATATTAAAACTGTTAAAATGCGAGAATTGATTAACTCCATGCCCATCCCACATATCAACACATCTCGAATATTTTTCCATCATTTGTACAGGTAATTTGTGGGCTTTAATATGAAAAAATAACTTTTTATTATTTTCAGTGTAGTTGCGCAGACATCCTTTGTAATCGAGAGTTACAAATACTTTTTTTGTTTGTTTGTTTTCATATTTAACACTATATTAGTCCCTTTTTTGTATAAGAAAAGCATATAAAATATATCGTGACAGATTTATTTGTAATTTACACTTATATCACACAGCAAACAATCATCTGTATAGAATTCTCTGTCAACTAGTTAGTCTTTTAGTTTAAACGACAAATTTACTTAGTTCTCAACTTCCCTATCATATGAAGTTGTTTGTGAACCACTAATTTAGCACTAAGTAGCCACTAATTCCGAAAATTGATCAACACACATCCTATTAACCGTTAGCCATTGTGGTATTCGTCTGTTTATTCGCGTTATCGGTGTTCGATTGGATAAATGTAATGTCCTCGCTAATGAATCGCCACAAGAAAAGCTTCAAGTAATTTATTTCTCTCCTTTTGGCCTTAGTTATTGTCGGATTGTTTACTTGCTTTTTTTATTTTGCTACTGTTGTCATATTCCCAAGGTTGTTTGTTACTATACAGAGTAGTTATTTTGAAAATGATACTTTCTAGAATATTAGACTCCTTTTAAATCTGTTTTTTCCCTCTCCCCTCAATCGCATGGAGATTTTGTACGGATTAGTCATCCAGCTATTCAGAAGGCACATATTCTGACCGTATCAAAAGACACTCAAACTCGATAAGTCTATTGTATTGTAATGGAAACTCTACCTGCTCTTACCAAATAGTATGGTTTCCTAATATATAGGCAGAAGAAATAAGATAACGTGGATAAATTTAGTTCTTGCTGATAACGCTTATGCACTTAGGGTCCTTTATTTGCATTAGAAAGTTGTTTAAAAAGTCTTGCGCAACTGTTTTTAATCTATGTTCATCAAACTTCATTTCCTTGTATTTTTTCTTAGAGTAATGGAATTGTCCAGCGTTAATCAAATGCATTCTTACAATTTGGCTATCGTTTTCGGACCCAGTTTAATTTGGCCAGAAGTAGAGTCTGTTGAATATAAAGCACTTAAGTCTGTACAGGTTCCATGTATAGAATATTTACTTACACATGTAGAGGAAATATTCGGACCTGTAACCCCACCACCAGTTATTTCGTAAATAAGAATAGGATATGTCCAATTATGTCTTTAAATTCAAGCATACAATGCACTGCTCAAAATTTATTTATTTTTCTTCAATCAAATGATGATTATCAGTTTTAGAGTTATCATCAAATATTTTTGATCTCCTCTAATGTTTTCTTTTATTGCATATTATCACAACAACACATGTATAGTGTGTATTGTTCTGATCTTGTTTTCACACACACACACACACATGCACTGTGTAATGAAGTAATTTTTTTTTAAATTCAATATCAATTGAAGCTTTATCTTAAATATATTTGCTTTCATATTAAAGAATATGTTTGTATTTTTATTGTATGTTGAATAAACATAATTTTATACTTGGTAAATTAATTTCAAAAATGTGATAAAAAATAATATTCACCAATGTAAATTCTTTTTTTTTTATTTCATTGTTAAAGTTGAGTGTAGATGATTTTAAAAAATATCTAATGTTTATAGTCTTAGTTTTGTTAAAATTAACTTACTTGTTTCACTAATAATTTGATAAAGCTCTAATTATTATTGATGAAACAAAATTTCTAATTTAAACTAATGCGTAGAATGCTAATCAATAGATACACACAATGATATAATGTGATCAAACTGTGGCTACTCACGAAATTGTGTATGATTTAAGTTCCTGAATCGCTAAACATCAAAAACAAGACCAATAACCAAGTATAATAAAATAATATGTTTATGTAGAGCGTATGAACACAAAATAAACATGACCGAATGCTATGGGCGATTGGGAGAAATCAGTTGTGCATCACTCATTCTTCAATTAATTAAGACTTAATTTTTAGGCATCGCATCAGACTATATTCACACTAATTCCAATTTTTTACATTAATTGTACTACTGGCCGATAAGTGTTTGCGCGTTTCTTTCTTCTTTGTGATACATTGATGTCCAACTTATCACAGTGAAGCTTTACTTTGTTACCTTTGTAGTGGTCAAATAATTAGTGTTTAATTTATTGCAGTATGATTAGTTTGCTAAGAATTTCAAATTATTCATAGTTTTAAACGAAGATAAGATGATCTTCGTAAAACCTTAAGCAGTATAATCTACTGATTCAGGCTACAGATAGGGGAAAATCTTAACAGCAAAATTAACCACAACCATGAGATAATGAAAATTTACGATAAAAATGGTTTACGCTGACATTACACGTAAATCTATGTAATGTTCAATCCACTGAATTTCGTAACGATGTTCGAAAAGTCTGCAGTTCTGTATTATGTCTAACGTCAGTTTTGAGTATTTTCAGACTTCCGCCGTTTTACGCCTGCTGCATGAAATTTGCCGATGTGATCTACATCTCAAGATGCAGAATACATTCTGGTCACTTTAGTCAATGCAGATTAGCACCGTAACTCTTAACGTTTCTGGTTATCATCATCTACTTGATAAACCCCCCAACAGCACTCGTATTTGAATGTGTATAACTGTACACCTTTAATTCTTAAATATGTCGTACAATAAAACAATTGATTAAACTTTTGTTATTGTATTTTATTTTTCTTACTACTATCAGTACACCTGTCTTCCTACTATCAACTTGTACTTTTGCCTATTATGTGTAGTGATGTAATCTATTTCATTTAGTTGTAGATTTTAAACATCAGACTTAGTCTAACACATAGTTGAACATCATAAGCGAGTCTTGTATGCCATCTGTCATTTGGTTTAGTGTGCTTCTTTCTCTATGTCTGTTTGCATTTGCGGGGTGCTGTATACTTCGAAAAAAAGGATCTTTACCTAAGATTGATAAAACGCAGTCTGATGTAAAAACGTCGTTGAGCATTGCTAGGTTGTCTTAAGTAGTAATAAATGTAGCCTTTAACGTTCCTATATTGTACCAATAAAACACAAATAAAAGTACAGTCATGACATAATTCAGTGTAATTTACATAAATGCAGAGTATAGATAACTCGTTACAAGTCTTCCAGAAAGCAGTTTTGTACTCTAGGATTTACAACCGTTTGAGCGCTTTACGAAAGGATGAGGTATTGCGTTGTGCCACTTTAGAATGTGGGTGTGCATCGATTGAATTGCCTGACCTGAAATGATAAAACAGAGCGAAATGCCATGATTATGAAAACAAGATAAGTTTTATCACGCGAAGATGAAGTCACTATGTTTTGGTTACAAACTGAACAAATGTTATTGTTGAAAGTGTTTCCCACTGAATGGAAACCATTGTATTTACAAAAGAATTAGAAAGCGACACAGCCGATATTCCGAATACCCTGCTGAATATCACTAAAAAGCCCTGGAGAGGATACAACTTAGTATTAACACATTTATCTATGTAAACCCGACCGAAGCTGCTACCTTGACGTGGTGGTCGGGCTTGCCTATCGTGATGACCCAACCGAGCTCTACTGGCTGGAACACATGTTCCTGCAGGTCCTACCATGCCAGGCAGGTCGATTGGAGAACGATGAGACTAAAAGCAGCTAATCAAGGTCTGAGGGCGAAGTCGTACTGCTGACTGCAGAGGGGTGTGACAGCAGTAAGGTGTTTCCCTCGGACAACCAGCATCTGCAGCGATGCTGCCTTCTCACAAGGAAGGAAGGGTTAGAAAAGGTCGACCCTAAAAATGTCACACCTCCCCTACCTCACGGGTTTCCGTCTCCTTGGGTAAGGGTGCCCACTGGGCCTTTAAGAACGGAGCTAATCCTCTAAATACCTCTCATAAAAAGGCCGTGCGTGACCGACCTCAAGCAGTTGTCCCTTGGACTCTGCGGTCACACACCAACACTAATCCATCTTCCTTTTCAGGTTTTCAGGTATCTATGTAAAAGGGCAGAGTTGCAACGTTTTGATGAACTTACAACTATTGCGTCACCAACTAGAAAAACGCAAATCTGAATAATTCAGATTTGAAGTTGCTTCGAACTTTAAAGTGGATGACACGACTAAATCGCAGAACATCGAACCTACTAAATCCTTCTCCAAAGTAAGAACGATTCCCTATCATCATTATCTCTGCAGCTACACCACACCAAGAGCGATACGGCTGAGGGTGTGGAGGGACCAATCTCCCCTTGAAATGCTCTCATATGACCAGGCGCAAAAAGCCGCTGTAAGAGGAGTCCTACCCACTGCTTTCGTGTAGCGTAGGAGTTTCGTTTGAGAAGTCAACAGGATGAAAAGCAAATGTACGGCTCTTAAGGCCGGTTGGTGGTGTGGGTCTGCTACTTTTAGAAAAGCTTTTCGGCTTTGACTATGTGGTTTATATTGTACGATGGAAATCAAGCCGAACAACCCCCATATAATCAGCTGAAAACCAATGTCAGAAGGTATGTGTTTTGTGCCATCTACGTGTGAAGTACTTTTGCAAGACAGTAAGGACCGTGTTCCTACACTCTTGGTTGTGGGTAGTTAGAATTTGAAAATCTCGTGTAAGTGCTGGTAGCGGTATATGTGATGACATCAAGTCACGTAAAGTGAAAGCCAGAATAGATTATGCCAATCTAGACTATCTCTGGTACCCTCTTGACGTTAGTTTGGCTGTAAAAGATCGCATCTACAACGCGTCGATAAGAGCAATTTTACTCTATGCTTGTGAAACCTGGCAATTCCGAATTGAGGACGCTAAGTGGCCCACTGTGTCCGATCATCTTGGTCCCAGAAGAATTTCTGACAATGAGCGGTGACACTATGTCTAGTGACGCGAAGGTTCAGCAACGTGCGTTTGGGTACTGAGACGATCATTTAATTGGTACAACCACCTCGAAGTACTGACTTTGGTGGCCCAGACACGTCCAATGAATGTCATTCCATCGAATCTCAAATTGTGCATTATTTGCCGACCCTCAAACTGGTTGGACAGACGCAGATGGTCACTGAATCACTTGGTGTCGCTGTATGAACAAACTGTACAGAACTGGCCTCCAATAGTTCTCCACAACTTTCTGGTCGTAGTCCTAGTGATAGTGCAACGTGATGGTCAGAGACATTATTAGACATGGCCTACAACAGAACGCATTGGTGGTCGTGCCGTAGGTTTCTTTTAATTTCTTGATGAAAGTAAGAGAAACATCTCCAATAGAAGAAATCCTTCGTAGTTGTATTATCTAAGACTAAACTGCTTTGGTTACTATTCATTGTAATTTCATTCTTGTACAAAAATTTTGATTCAGTTTTCTCTTTTATTTTACTCAGTTCCTTTCTCTGCAGATAGTTAATGAAACTGATTCGAACATAAAAGAAATTCTGGCGTCACACAAGTTAAGGCAAACACCACGTAAAAAACTTCGCCAGTATATGATTGGACGTGTTAGACCCTCAGGTGGAATGCAGTTGATGAGAATGATATATACTAATTTATGGTATCCAACTACTTATTTCCTGCTGGCTAACTAATTTTAAGTATGGATTATGTCACGAATTTTATATACATACAAATTTAACTTACATATCGACACTTTTCAGTTCCTCTGACTGAGACTTTTGACTGCTGTTTTTCGTTTGCTCTCGAATATGCCAGTGGGCATGTACTTCTGTGTGGAGCCGAGCTTCTGCTACAAACTCACTGTAATCTTCTAATAACAACTTCCCAGCTTCTTCATTGAGAGCTGATTCTGGATTAGGTTCTATCAACAAACATCTTATTGTCTACGAAAATAAGTTGTCATTCACGAACTCACTAGAAGTATATGTCGAAGCCCTAAATTGGATTTCCAATCTTTCTTCAGCGTATTCACGCAAACCTCTCCAGTATTTGGTGCTATATTTGGATGGAATATTTTCGTGCAGAAGTATGCTTTTGGAGGTTCTATTGGGTACTGAATCGGAATCAAAATCTTCAGACGGAATTTTCCACCATCATAAGGAGTGCCTACGGGTCCATCAAGTAAGACCTGACAAATTAAAGGTATAAGAGTGCAACTCACTTGAGCTTCTGTCATATTTTGCTCGTTAAGAATTAAATGGATTCCTTCAACTGGTTCACGTGAAAAATCACGCCATTCTTTGTACAAACGACGAGCGAACTCTGGAACTGCATTCTCCATCTACACCTGTTATGAGCTGACCTTCAGCTTTATGCGCTCGTATTACGAAAATGGAGATAATCTTCACTCAATCAAAGTGTATCGCAGTCAGCGATAAAAGTCATGCTTTTGTTCACTGATTCGCTAAATTGCTTATATATTGGCTTCACTTGAATTCTATGACTGATTAGATGTGTGACTTTTGATGCGAAATTCTTTTTTCCTCTTTACTGACTGCCCTGAAATTGACACTTCCACAGTGGAGTAGGGTGATACTTCTTCGGTTGTTCATGTAAACAAACCGAAATTGAGTAAGGATATTAGTTAAAGCTTCGAGTACCGTTAGGTTATGACTATTGTGTTTCGGAACACAAACAAAAAGGCTAAATGAAGACAAATAAACAAAATTTTTAAGAAAAAATATGACAACTGGCGACAATTTTTATTCGCTATTAGGAATAATGAAACATTCACGGTAATGTCAGTGGCATTCAAAGTTGTACAACGCTGGGATACGTAAATGGTTTCAGTTCGAGAATACACAAAGGAAAGTAAAATCATAAGTCATGAATAAGGAGGAACAAATGTATATTTGAATGGCGGTCGATAAGAAAAGAACTAGGTTTACAAGATGGTGTGAAGAGATGCCTTGCACGGCGCACCTCACCGTTAACTGGTGAAGATGTTTGACCGAATACCTTAGCTAGGGTGTATCCAGAAAATTTGTGGAATCAGCAGAACTGTGGAAGACATAATTGCACTTAGAACTCTCCCCTAATTTGGAAGTCATCACTCCAAAAATTTATCTAACAAGATTTTAAATTATCAGTGTTGATAATTGCTAGCAGAAATGTAAGGCAAGATCTGTGCGGAAATATAGTTATCAGTTAATGCATTACCTTTTATTGGCGTATTCAACTTCAAACCTATTGCAAAGTCATACACAGCCTTGGAACATACCTAAAGTTGTAGATGCATATATAAGGTAATGTTTACTGGGAAATGATGATTAAAATAAAAAAAGTAGCACATAATACCTGACTTGCTCAGTAATGCTGCTACCGAGACTGAAGCCATTTTAATTTGAACAGAATGTTAATTTTAGTGATACGTCTTTCGTTTAACATAATAACCCAAATTGAAGAAAGAATCAAATAGTGTACGTTAAGTAGATCCAACATTTTAAGTGTTTTCATTATCCTAAGGAGCCAAATTTGAAACAGAACATGATTTACGAGGTAAATTGTGACTCTCTGGAACTTACAACATTTAAGATAAGGCTACGCTTGAGGAGTAATGAACACATTGTGTCGGTTATTCAGATAAAAATTAGCATAGGTTGAAGTCGCCATTCCAAACTAGGAAATGAAATTTCCAGTTCAAATACTACAGTAATAGAGACAGAGTAACAGTGACAGTCAGTCGAAACCTGTAACAATCGATTATGATTGTCACGCGTACCACAAGCAGATAGTCGACACCCAACATGGCTCAATCAAGCTGTTACTGATTTCATGGATTTGTACCATGTTTTAGATTGGCAGACCCTAATTTTTTTCCAACCTACTCCTACACCACAAAGCATTACTCGTCGAGGCAGTCGGTGGTTGGGAATTCGTAACACATGACTCAATCACCTCAACTGATGAAGTTTAAATACTTCATCTATTGATTTACCATCACTACATAGTACTCGTTTTCTAACAACAGTATTGCTTACTCAGTTGTCCCAGGATACACGAGCGATCCTTCGAAGTAACTAAAATGGAATATTAATAACCTACGAATATCTTCTACTCTCACTGGCCATGTTTCGTATCCATAAAGTAGGACGGAGCGAACTGATGCGCAGTATACTCGTCCTTTGTTTAACATAAGTCATTAGTGACGCAAGTTAGCGAAAACCAATCGAGTGTTTTGTATACGTGTTGAGATTTCTTCAATCACCAGGTCATCAGCACTGATGAGACTACCAAAAGAAGTAACACACACAACTGCTTCACTCCGTATCACAAGTTCAGGTGCCGATGCAAACCAATCCTGAGACGACATTTTACATTTCGATGGCAGAAACCGCGTCACGAACATGCTTACATTGTAGCTTAGGGTTGTAAGAAGACTGCATTTTATCAGCGTCTTCACCAAATAGAACTATGTCATTGGCATATTCTAAGTCAATAAGCGAGCAACCTAGTAGAAGGTGATGATATATATAGAAGCAGATGTATGACAAAATTACACAAGAATGGAGAAAGTCAACAGACCTGGGGACATCACTTGAAGTAATGAATTCCAATGATAATTCGCCATAACCTGTAGTGTTCGAGTGGAGAGCTTTTATAAGGTTAATGTACTTCTCTGGCACACCTTTTAATGACAGACACTGCAGTCAGTCAGTTAGTCAGATGCAACGTAGAACTTCGTACGCAAGTACATCAGTTCATGTTGCCATACCACATCAGCACAGAGATATAATTGTCAATTCAAATCCAATAGTAGAAGAGTTAGTAAGGGTATTAGAAGTAATCGGAGGGGTTAGGATTAGAAGATATTGTTCAAGAAGTATGATTCAGTGAGAAAAGTTTAGAAAGTCAAAACTAGAGGGGTTGAAGAATCCAGAAGATTAGCATTTGAGAGAACACAAAGAATAAATGCACCGGCGCCATTGCGAACGATTTTGAGCCATGTCATTCAAGGTCTCTAACCATCGATTATTATCATCTCGCGGACCCCAACCAGGTAGTC